TAAGTTTAACTAATATATCGCGTTTTAAACCGTTAAAGTGTTTTATTTAAATGTGTACTACTCGCCGTAAACCTACAGACAGTATTTAAGCAACCCAACTTGTTGTATTACATAACAAAAACAGCAATAATAATACCGGGAGTTATAGCTTTAACAATGTATATGATGCAATTAGTGTTATAAGAGTTTGATTTTCAGCAATTAAAAATACGTTCTATATCCATAATCTTTGTTATGAATTATATATCTAGCAAAATGTGTCATCATGTCATTAGAATAATATTTGCCACTACGTTTTCCGGTAGTTAACATATTTTTAAAATCATATGTATCGCGTTTTAAACCGTTGAAGTGTTTTATTTAAATTTAACCTTCCTCGATAAATGCTGTAAACGGCACAAAAAGAAACTCTTCAGCTTTATGTCTCTAATAGTTACCTATATAGATATAGTTGAATTACGGAGTCGGTTAGAATGATAAATTACGATGACTATGAAATATCGCAGATCGCATTGTAACATTTCAAATTAGTGGAACATGTGTTGTTGCAACAAACATCTGTGTGCCAATAACACGCAATAATCTGTATCTTATGCAGCAATGAAAGAAACGGCGCCAAGACCTAATTGCGTTAGATTTATTATCTGTGGTGTTGGGGCTCTTTTGACATTCCTATCTGGTGTTACCTGTACTAGGTATAATTATAAGCATCCTAATTAAAACGACCATGAATCACTAAATTAGAAAAAGAAGTATTGCGCGTCCTAGCTGTTAACGACCGTTGTCTATCTCGCTGTGTCAGGAGTTGCTGCGAGCGTTCAGTGTTAGAGTCCCGTGCACGCGTTCTCGAATTCCTGGCTCTATTTCCTTCAAGTCGCTGCGACGATCTTGCATTTTGTCCTGCAAGACGAACCTGAACGTTCGACGATAGAACCTCGGGCTCGCGTTTGGGACGCGTACACTCTAATACTTTCCAGACGATCATTTGTAGAAGACTCTCCAATACGACGAACTTGGGCTAATCTCGCTTGGGAACTATTCTTAGGTATTTACTTTAATTCAGAGAAATTAAGAATAAACTTATAATAATACAAAAGAAAATATCATATCATAATATCAAGTACAAAGAGATATTGATATATTCTATAATATTGTTGATTTTTTTTTTCTATCATTAATACTTTTCGCAGCGTATGCGATGAAAAACTTTTACGGCTAATTTTTTTACGCCTTCCGTTGGTTTTAGTAAGATTTTCTATAAATGCCTATAGTAATTAACTACTAAATATAGCCTCATCAGTGATAATGTAGCTTTCTAATGAAAAAAGGATTATTAAAATCGGTCCAGTACTTTTTGAATTTATCCATTATAATATACAAAAATACAAATCTTTCCTCTTTATAATATTAGTATAGATGATCATTTTTAAGTTGTTAAGCATTTTATTTTTATATTTATTTAGGTTACCTAGTTACTAATACAAAATAAATAAAGAAATACTATCTACTCTAAAATTTATAAAAATATAACGTAGAAATTCTGAAACGTACCACGTTGAACTCTTTCGTATAGTCTATTTGTAATTTGGAATCAATGTAGTTTTTTATGGCAGGGGAATTATTTTTGGAAACATGTTTGGCCTAATGAGTATCGAACTCGCGACCCGTTGATTAGCTAGCCACAATGCTACCGTTGCACCAACGAGTCTATCATGTTGTTTGATTTGGTAATCGTCTACGTAGTTGCTGCAGCTAATCCCAGGTTTGGGTAAATGCAATCCACATTCGATTACATAACGCGAACACGCGATGAACCGTAAACATTGCGAAAACAAAATCGGCGTAAGCGCATGTTTTTCTGACTAAAACGTCTATGTGATGTTACACACGTATTTCGGTGAAGTAATATTATTTCACCGGGTCTTTTAAACAAAACACTTATAGAAAAAAGTAAAAAATGTTATGTTTTAATCAACTATTCTAGTATCAAGGCGTTTTTGCTTGTCTCTGTGACGAATGACTTATGAAATCGTACTACAGGGAAGGGAACATGGAAAAAGGTACTTAGGTTTCATTAAAACTTATTTCATGGTGGTATATATTACTTCTATAGTCCACCTTGAGAATCGGTTGAAATTGAATTAATTTGACAATTACGTCCTGTTACCTTACAGAAAATATTAATTGTTCATTGAACAAACCTATGTTATCGTATTAGTATAGCATACGTACATCAACAATTTTATAAACATGAATTTTAATTATTTCTTATAATATAAACTAACAACCCACAATACTTAAAAAACGCATAAAATTAACGTGGAATAATTGGGTTAATTTCTTTCCTCATTTTTGATTCCTTATCGCTTTTTTATTAGATAGACCTTCAGCATCCTTCCGAAACATCTTTTTACTGAGGTCATTCGATCTAGTCGTGTTTAAGAGAAGATTCAGTCAGCAGTTGCCGTAATTAAAAAAAAAAACATATATTTAATAAAAGCATCGTCTCTATTCTTAACTTGATATGCAAACAAAGAAGTAAGTTTTTCTTGCCCTATGGAACAGACACATTTCTATGTCCGTTCCACTAATAATATATATAATTGCTTACCTACCTTTTCTTTCTTACCTACAATATCACTTTATATGTAGTGAGCATAGGAAGGAGTAATTAATAATTCAAATGTTACTTAAACACTTTCGTATAATTGAACGCACAACAAAGTTGCATCACTGACATTCTAAAGGCGATAATAAAATTTACGAGTATATTAAATAAAACACTTTTAACGGTTCAAAACGCGGAGCATATGTATCCTTTACATGTAGTGCATATATTTTTCCTTATTATTATATTTATTTTTACTACGCGACTAGTATTGTGTGATTTGAGACTTTTTGAAAGCGTCTAAAACGTTGGGTTGTAGAAAAAAAAAATCATTTGGTATATTTCGGGTTCATTTTGGGTTTAAAAAAATTAAATATTCGATTTTTACTACTTACATATATTTTATTTAAAGGTCTTTAAAATATTTCTAATTCATAACCACTGGTCAGTTTTTTTTTCTGCTAAAACGATTCGATTTAGATTTCTTAAAAAAGTTTTTTTTTAATTTTATTAGATTACAAAGTTTCACGTAATTATATGCAACTGAAAATCAAACTTAACACCATGCAACTACCCTTAAATATAAAGTATAAACGTCTCCATTACCCTGCCAAATTGTAATTCAACAATGTCTTCATCACCTTCATCTTAAGTTTTGAAACTTATTTACTCACAAAGCCACATAATACTCAAGAGACCGATTACGTATGTTAAGTGCGCATTACAATCGCCACTTGACTTTATCAACTTGCAATACGAACGGTACTCGAAGCACCACATTAATATCCAATTAGGCTTCACTTCCCATTTGATGTCATTCTTACATCACTAACTACCTGTTACAATGTGTGGACTAAATTCTGTTTATGCGGCCTATACCTACCTATTTCGTTTTTAGCTTGTCATCTTCGTAAGCATTATGAAACAACGGAGCTTCCGTAGTAAACTTTTTGAGAAAGGCAAAGTTCGAGTGATAACATACTGTGCTTAAGTTTCGATGGAGATTGTTCATTTTTAATCTTTTAATGTCCTACTGTTGGCACAGTATTCTTTTGATCCACACCTTACTGGATTGAATGATTTCAAACTCCGCCGACATAAAGTTTTGCTTTTCAATTTAAAAGTAACATTCCCTCTGGATTCTTACCATGGGGAACGAAAGTCGAACTCACTTAAATAGATATACTACTTAGATTATAATATTTTTTTTTAGTAAGTACTTGACATTATTCAAGATATTTCTCAAATTAAAATTTTGCACCTCTGAAACCAGCATGAGCAATGTGAACTGAAAACTAAACAACCTATAAGTATATGCATACCTAAGCTTACTATATATTATATCGGTGTTATGATATTCACTTTCTAAAATCGATAAAATTTCTAGATCGTTCGCAGTTTCGGCAACTGTGTTAGGCAAATACAACTAACATTTATTGCATAGGTGTTGTTCGAATTTCAATAGACTTGCTTCACATCGTTTTAGGTGGATTTCGTTTTTATAGCACCCTTGCTTGGTTTTTTACATCAGTGAAGTTTCCATCTGGTACCCGATGTGATAACTAACCTTAAAGTTATACGCGCTGTAGTTTAGTCTACTCTTTAGACTACTGATACATATAACAGATAACTTTAAATAAAACACTTCACCGGTTTAAAACACGATATATTAAACCTATTTGAAAATAATTTTTAACTTCGGCCCGACGTTTCGGATGGTTTGCAGCAGCCGTCACGTGCTTTATTTAAATGTGTACTACTCGCGTAAACTATAGACAGTATTTAACAGATAACTTTTAACGGTTTAAAACGCGAAATATATGATATCTTTGAAGGACCTGATGTTCTCGCAAGTTCTCATCGGATATTAAAGATAAATTACAAAGTATTGCGCTTCTCTTCTATCTTGTTTCACTTCTTAATCGGCAGTGTTCAGTTTAAACAGAACACGTGATTTTGTTAACTAAACACTCTTTGATCTAATGGTAGCAATGTAAGGTGTCAGACATGTTATTTAAAAATCAATAATTTATATGTTCTTCTAAGAATCTGGACGTTAAATAGGTGATAGGAATTTCGAAACTTCGTCAGGGGTAACCACCAGAGACGAAAAAGCCGTGTCATGTGCATCCATGTTTTAGTTTCCGTCAAAATCCAAAATAGGGCTGACATATATTACCTTCTATCAAGTAAACCTTAGACTCAATGTGCTGTCATAAAGAAAACTAATTTAACAACCTAATAAAAGAAAATTATTCAATAAATAACAAATTAAATTACTTTATTTGTTTGTCAAGTTTTACAATATAACTTTATTGTATAAACATTGAATGTTGAAATCCATCGAAACTTAGTATGAATAGGAATTACACAAAAATATATATATATATTTTTAACCCAGAGTTATCATGTTATCCGTGATCTCAGCAAGCAATTGATGGTTTCCTTTTGTTGTAGTTGGGACTAAATGATGCGGCCCAACTAAGCAATATTGCAATGAACAGTTTGTATCAACTGTAGCGCCTGTATATATTATACAGTCTTGAAGAACACATCTGAAATGTAATAAAACATATTATCATTAAGAGTTAGGTGTATTATTATTAAGACTAAGTTTCCATACAGCAGCAGTGGTCACATGAAGTTTGCTGCTTTCTTTATGCAGGTCCTAATAGTAATTCATAACTTGAAATTAATGAACATTTCGCCTATTTAACAGTTGAGTGATTTCAAAAAATTTATAGTTAAGCTGCTTAAATTAAACAATTACTCACCCTTCTTTAATTGTAACATTGTTCATCAATATACAATTCGTTAACCTAACTTTATTCTCTATTGTACAATTTGAACCAATAAATGTTTCTTTGATAGATGTCTTCTCGCTTACTATACTCTTGTCTCCAACTGTACTAATCTCATCTATCTGTTTAGTTTTAACATCACTGTTTGGATGTATTTTGTCATATAACGGTAGGCCTGTTATTTCTTCCCATTTTGTTAGAATCTGAAAGAAATGTTTTAAATATTTACACAATTTTTGTACAAGCTTTTAAGTGCAAACTTAAATGAGAGATACTTGTTCTGTAATAGTAAAGTAGGTTTAAGTAGCTCTGTAGTTAGTACATAGTAAAATATCTACCAAAATTAATGATTTAAAAATTGTTCAAAGATAATATAACATATAAGTGCAATACCTTATTGTTAGAGAGATAGTACGCCGATAATGTATTCACTCTAATTCCAAAAGTGTTCTTAGGTGGTATGTGCGCATAACATCTAATTATATCTCCACCATAGACACCCTTATTGCCTAACTTGTGGTCATTATAAGCTGACATCTGTCTAATCTGAGTTTCATATCCTGATTCTACAGCATAATCAAATATATCTTTATTTACATCAACATTCCGTTCTGACGTTCCTTTCTTTTCTAGGAGCTTTTTAGGCTTTGCCAGCTGTTTCTTAATCAGATGTGGAATCAGTTCACCTTTCAAGGACGTGAACTTGTCCATATCAACTAGATAATTTATCACCCAGTGTTTAATGACGTATACATGTGCATCCAAAAGCCTACTAAACATGGATATTGAGTTGAATTTCTTCAATAGTAATCTTGGTATTTTGACATTCTCTTCAAAATCACTGGCACTAGCTAAGAAACACAGTCTCTCTGTGTCCTTATCGATACAGACTAGGTCTCTGTCTGGTTTTGCTTTGGTTTTAATTCCAGGTAATTCTATCCATTCTTCAGGGCCATTATTGAAGAATAATGAGGCTAGAACAGCATCATGTTTCCTGTAAAGGTTCAGGACGTCATTAAGGTTAATATTGGATATTAAGTCCCCAGATACAACAACTAGATCTGTTGTTACTCTGCTACTGATGTGCTTTAGGGAATTAGCAGTACCCCAATCTTCTTCAGCAGGTATCACAATTAATTCATATTTAATCTTTAATGGACATTTCTCGAGAGCGCTCAAAATGCTGGATTTGTCTTCATCAAGCACTAGAACCATTGTTTCTGGAAATATAAGCAGGCATTGTTATATTCTCAACTACTTAAAATTATATGATAATAAATATAGCTTAAATGGGAAAACCTACCAACAATAAAATGATACACCAGTGAAGTGGTTTAAATTGAAAGATTACAACTCAAATTCGTAGGTCTTTTTATTTTCACTATGTTTTAATTTGAAATACCTATGTACTTACGTACCTTGAAATCCAACTCTCTCCAGCATATTCAAAGAATACCATAGTAAGGGATAAGCACCGACAGGTAATAGACACTTAGAGACGGTTCCTCCAACATCTGGTAACCTGGAACCCCTTCCAGCAGCCAGAACAACAGCTTGAAACTCTAATATTTTGTGCATTTCTACGTGCTAATTTAACCTCACACACATGAATGTTGCAAACTTTGAGATATTGCTCATCGGCAATTGCGCTTATTTTTAATGCTTTAAAAAACTTTGCATTCACTTTTTTATTGTTGGTAATAAAATATATATTCTTACATGTACTTCTATTTTCTAATTAACTAGTAAACTATTAGATATAAGTAATAACCATAATTGACAACCTGGCCCAAATAAAAATTGAAGGTTGACAGCTGACACTGACAAATAGCACAAAATTGGCCATGTAAAAAAGCAGAGTAAAAAAAAACGGTAAATAATCGGTTTTCCTGAATTCGACTGCGTTATTGGTGTTTTACTAATGGTATGAGATATAGATCAATATTTTGTCTTTTGGTTCGATGTAGGGTCGTGGGCGTGACCGTGGGTTTCCGGATAGAACTCGCTCTAATTAAAAAAAATACGTGTTTTTAAACCAAATAAAAAACTGCATTAATAACTTAGTTGCCATATTCTTTTGAAGTTTAATGATAAAACAAAAAGACTGATAAAGTAGTTTTTGTATTTGATATTCATCCTAACGTGAATTACGTATACAGCGATATTTTACAGCAAACTTTCATGTAATTTTCAACTACATCAAAAAAAATATATATATTTATCATATGAAATTCTAAAAAAAGATCATATAAAAACATCATTAATCATAAAAACATATCATATTTCTATAAAGAACAAGATCATTTATGTAGAATACAGATTTAGTATTATTTTGCAAAATAATAGTATTACGTGAAACGAGGACTCTAACGTGCTAATCTATTAAATCCGAAGGAGGCGGAGGAGTGACATCAGCTGCCGTTTCAACACGTGGAAAATCTTGAAAATCCCAAGGCATCATGTCAGAATCCTCACGCGGAGCTATAAAGATAAAAAAAAACAAATAAACAATAAAATTAAGAAATAGAAGTTTGTCTGTACATTGCATAAAATCTAAGACTGCGTCCAGAGTATTTTGATATTCTCGCGACTAGTTTTCTAAGACCAATTGGAAAACTGACTTCTTTCTTCTTCCAATTATCCTTAGTCAGCGAGGCACTTATTTTAAAAGACAATCTAACCTGTATCAGCTTCAGACGGCTCGGGTATTTTCATATTTCGCTGATTGCAAGGAGTGCACGGCTTCCTGACTTCTATATCATCAACTTTGTAAACCTAGAACGAAAGTATGATCAAGTATACACAAGTAATTGAATTGTGTGCATTGATATATCATATCAGCGAAGAAGTCACTATACCTTTCCATCGGAACCCAAAGCTGTAGCTGTGCTTTGTGGCATTGTGGATATAATCATGCCGGCTGGGGCTCGCGGTAACGCGTTTGAAACTGTTGTATGAGATCCTCCACAATACCGACGGCAAGTGTGAGCTCTATATAACAAAAAACACTGACGCAAATCAAATCTAAACTAATATATAAAGCTGAAAAGTTTGCTTGTTTGTTTGAACACACTAATCTCAGGAACTACTGGTTTGAATTGAAAAAATATTTTTTTGTGTTGGTTAAAGCATTTATCGAGGAAGGCTATAGGCTATAAACAAAAAAACAGTGGGAAATGTGGAAAAAATGGGGAAAATTATACATCTTTGTGGGTTTCCCATGCGTTCGCGTAACGGTTCAGGATACACAAAAAATATGTATAAGAGAATGATTGGTCTTTAAGTGATCTAAAATAAAGGACCGCGACACGTTTGCAAAGCAAATTTGGATGCCCAAAACAACTAGTGTACGCAGATGAAGTCGCTGACACAGCTAGTTGACTATACTTATACAAGTATACCAGTAAAGGTAATTCAACCTTTCATCGATAGCATGTCGTATTGGTAACCCTGGATAGCAGATGTAATCCCCACTTTCTTTTGGCTTCGATTCGTCCTCAGAACCAACAGTTGGAGGCCTTTTAGAGGGTTTTGTAAAGCCAGGCAAAACAGGTAATATAGTTTCCTCCATATTCATGTGAGCAGGAGTGGAGCACGAAATGCAATTCGTATCGCGGAACAGCTGCCTCGATACTGCGGCAGCTCGTGGTTCCCCAACGATTTCAAGCATGGCGTGAATTCTCTTTCTCAACTTCTCAAGATTATTGTTGACGTCGTCTCGTAAATGTATTACTTGTACTATGTCCGCCTTCTCGTGCAATTCACGGAGAAGATCGTCGATAGCTTTCTAAAAGGACAGTTAAACAGGCGTACTTAATTTGTGCGATTATTTATTTTAATGATAGAAGTGGACATACAAGCATGGCTTTCACTTGATGGTTTTACATCTGTGGACGTTCGTGACCCGGACAGAATTTCAATATTCCAATCACCAAATTACCAGACGAAGTCCAACGTGTTTCACAAAAATTATAAATTGATTAGCAAAATGTTGGACCCAGTGGAGATCGAACCCACGACCCGTTGACTCCTAATAATAGGAGGTGTAGCGTTACTTTTACGAAGCTTCTTATTTATTTTTGTCTACTTCAATATTATTAGTGTTATGTTATGTTTTAGCATTGACCCTTACTTGCCAAATAATCTCTTGGTTATTGAATTTATCATAAGCGGCACCAATGCGTTTCTCAAAATCACCGCGTACTGCATTGAACTGTTGTAATGTGACAAGTCCATTCAAAGCTCCCAGACCTGCTTTGTCACGGAGAGCATCTGCGACTTCATCCCGATCTGACTTCGTCTCGCGAAGTAGCTCAATTTGTTTTAAAAGCGCCTATAAAAATACTTATTTATGGATGAAGTGGTTTGGCACCTAGGTCGCCTAGTTTAGCGTAACAGCGAGATACTCAAGTACTTAGGGATCTTCTTCAGTTAATATTAACAACACAAACCGTAGCCCTAACTTGAAATAATAAATGCACAAATGGAAATGATATATAGTTACTTGTAAGTCTAGGGCTAATGAGTCCTGATAGTCCCTTAACTCTTTTTGCCTTGTGTTGGTATTGTCAAAATCAACTTGCAAGTCAGTGAAATGGGCGTTTAGTTCTGCCACAGCTGAAATACAATATTTGAATAGTATTAGTTTTTTATTATTATTCTAAACAGCCAGCTTTATTGAAAGTATGTTACCCATACCTACTGTATCACCACCAGTATTTGCCATGGCTTCGGCCATAGCTTCCAAGCCAGATTCTAAATCATGTTGCATTTGAGTTAATTGCTCTTGATAGTTGGTCATCTATGGATATCATAATAAATTAGTGCTTTTAGAGTATTTTTATTATGTTTGTTTAATTCGTTGACTAACTTGAGATGATAAATTTGTATCCATTATATTGATTGCTTCTACATAACGAGACACAATATCTTCTATATCGTTCATGCGATCCCCTAGATTCAGAGCTGCATCCAGTTTTCCCTCTATAATTAAGAGTGTTTGCTTATTGTTCTAGACGGAAACGAAAGTTTATCGTGCTAGCTTAAGTATACAGAAATCAAACTTCACCTAATTTGGTAGCTGTTTTCAAAGCGTTGTCAGCGTTAGCAGTGGTTTTACTAGTTATATTATTTACAGCTTTTAATATTCCATCATACAGTTCTTTCAAAGCATTCCTAGAATAATAAATTTATAATTGAAATCTTGTAAATCAAGCGTAACACATTTTTTTTACATTTAAACGTACTCAAGATCTTCTGGCTTTATTAAATTTTTTATTTTAGATTGCTTTAACTCCATATCTAAGTTTGTATCTACAGTAGGGTCTGCTACTGTTTCCACTTCTTCTAGTTTATCTGGTAATGATATCGCTAGTGTTGATAACGCCTTCGACGCTTGAACGGAGGTGGCCGCTTTTGGACTTTTAGGCTGTTTGGTGGCTTTTTGTTTTGTGTCAGCTTTATGAGCTTGTTTGTCGGTCTCAAAATTAAAACAAATGTTTAGTAAATTTAATAAATTTTAAAAAGGATATTATACTTTTTTATTATATCCGAATAAATGTTGCACCTTTTGCTCTAATGCATCTAAATTTACACCTTTTCGCACAGCTAGATCTGTAACCAAAGATGTCATTTGTTGCAACGTCCTTTCTGCAGCTTCTAAGCGTGCTGAAAGCTGAAGAGCTGCCATTGCATCAGTCAATGAGGCACCGCGTCTTAATTCTTGCATTAATTCAATATTATCTGGAAAATCGGCTCCTCCCGTTGCTCCGAATTTGTTTTGTATTTCGCGTACAGACTTAGCTAGATTTTCAAATTGCTCCTGCGTTACTACTGAAATCTGGCTAGATTCCTTTTTTCGCTCTGTTCAAAAACACATGATAGCATTATTTAAATTAAAAAAATATGTATATATGGATTGAATAATGGTATAAATAATTTCGATATCAAAACCTCAAACTTTACCTCTAGAAGATCTTGCTTCGTGCGATGGTACACGCTCAACTACAACAAAGATTCATATTTGAACAAAACTATCATCCATTTTGAAATATTTATAAAAGTGAAACCACACTTACCGACTAGTAATTTTTCATATTGTACTTCTGGGAAAATACAAATTTGATAAATGTAAACTTGTGTCATTGGCATATTAGCTTTAACTATAGATTTATTATTTGAATTAAAACATAATCCATACCCATTGAGTCTACAGAGGCCATTGGAGTTGGCGTTGTTATACCTTCTTCATGCGAATCAGCTCTCTAAAATTAATATATGACATTATAACCTGAACAAATATTGTAAAACATTTGTTCTAATATTCAGCTCACCTGTAGGCTATTACAGTAATTCTTATAAAATAAAAAATACAAAAAGAAAGCACGAAAATAGCAGCCTCAACGTCGACCACGACTAAAAACAGACAAATAAAAAATCAATGAACTGATATTTTGTAGTTTAAAGCTTGCACCTGATGTATTGTTCTAATTTCTCTTTCCCTCTGCTCTTCATATGTCTGCAGCTCTCTGAAGAACTCCTGTGACAAGATCTAAATAAAGAACTATATTAGGAAATTAAGAGTAATACATATAAGTTGCTCATAATGACATTTACCTTTCCTTTGTCACCGCTAGACGTAGATTTGGATGAGGTTTTAGTTCTTGAGGAAGACGATTTTTCTGTTGATGTCTTTAAGGAAGAAGATGGTTCCGTGCTGCTTTTTGATTTTGATGACGTCTCAGTAGTCGTTTTTAATGACATGTCAGTTGTAGTTTTAGTTGGATCGGAACTTGTTTTTGTAGACGAAGTCGTTGTGGTTTTGGTTGGATCAGACGAAGTCTTGGATGAGGAAGTATCAGTTGTAGTTTTGGTGCGATCGGAAGAACTTTTTGTACGATCAGATGATGACTTTGTTTGATCAGAGGTAGTTTTTGTACGATCGGAAGACGATTTCGTTTGATCGGAGGTGGTTTTGGTTTGATCAGATAAAGTTTTTGTTGGATCAGATGAAGTTTTTGTTCCATCGGAAGAAGTTTTGGTTTGATCGGTAGATGTTTTGGTAGAAGTCTCTGTCGTTTTTGTTGTCGTAGTTTTACTAGATGACGATTGCTCAGTACTAGTTTTAGTTGTTGAAGATTCAGTCAAAGTTTTGTCGATTGATTTAATAGCGGGGGATTTTCCTCTTTTATCAACAAATCGTTTAACACCAGCTGCACCACCGCCACCTCCAGGTATTATCTTTCGTCTCTTTCGCACTTTTGCTTTCAATTTTACTTCTCTAATAGACAAACTGGACGCTGATGGTACAAGCAATGGTGCGACAAGGCCAACACGTCTTTCTAGCAGTCTTAACTGTCTAGCAAGAATGTATAGAATTGTCTGAATAAGTTTGAAGTGAACTATACATATGTTGTCCTAAAATTAAATAGTTAAATAATTTTAATATATCATATTTATATTACAGTATTCAGAGTATTATTAAAGTATTCCAAACCTCATTTTCTCCAAACGCTGTATCTATCATTTCCCTAACCGTCATAATACTTGTGTCGGACATATTTTAAATAAGATTATAGTAATTTAAACTCAATATTAAATCTCAATCAAAGCTCACTTGATTTGATGTTTTACGATTAATTCATTTCACTTTTGAAATGAATTTTGGACGCGTCATTCATCAGTGTCATTATATTTTTATTTAAAAAAGTTTTTATTTTAGTTTCATATACATTTTCATCACTATTCGCCTTTAAAGTATTAGTTTTGTTTATATTCCTGTGTAACGTGTAGGTATCTATTCTAATATAATATTATATGCTTTCATATGTTATGTGTTCTTTTATATTAATAATGGCGTTTTTCACCTTTTAATTTATTAAACTTTTACCACGTCTCTGATAAAGCTGCGTATCATTATATCGGGGTCGTTGTTATTTCAGTAGTAGAAGATAATACTATTTTTTAAACTTATTTAAATATGCAATTTTGAGCTTCAATATAATTTACTTGTGTAATTTTATTAGTTTTAATAGTAATTTTCATTTAAAATTCGTGGCTTCATTGCTAACATACGACATATGGAAAATAATATAACAACACCTGAATATGAAACTTAGCATTTATTGTTTAGAGATATGTAATAAAAAATAGTTTATTTACAGTACTTTAGAGATTTAACAAGTCTTGCGTAAACGACATATAAAAGGTACTTCATAGATTTTGTTATTCTATATATACCTTGTACAAGTTGCATTTTGCTCACAATTATTTAAATTTACTACTTATATATAAGAAAAACAAGCAAACTTACGGTATTCATACAAAAAAAATTGGACTGTTTTTATTGTATATTTTACATTCACTAACTATATAAATATGTTACTACTTATCTATTTAAAAAGTGAGCTAATTCCTATATTTATTAGGCACGATTCCGACAGTCGTTTGAGCGCGACTTTGCACAAGCGGGCGCTTCAAGAGGTGATGGCGAGGTGATGATAGATGAAGCCTCAGAACCCGCACTTTGACTAGAGATTGTCTGCTCAGCAGATTGAGTTGGCTTAGATAGTTCAACGCGTATAACTTTCAAGTTCTCCGAAGTCCGTTCCCTATTCACTTTACTTACTGAATGTTTATCATCCTTTCTTATTATATTATCACGACTTAAAAGAACAGCTAGTGGCGGTATGTACGCATGAGGTTCATAATTATCATCTACGTAGTCTTCGGGGTTCCATGCCATTGTCGTTGTAGATTTTGGTGTGGATGTCACATGCGCTTTGAGGGTAGTCGCTCGATGTGTCACAGGAGATAAAGTAGCTTTCAGTTTCTTATTACTTTCAATTGATGGTATAGTAGCAGTTGCAGGTATAGTAAAAACCTGTCTATTTTTATTCGATCTAATTTTGCGGCGTGCTTGTAGTTTAGGTACATCCAGGAAGAACGGATCAAATATAAGGTCCGATTCTTTATAATCGTCATAATTAATGGCCACAATTGGTTTTACAGCACTAACGACGTTGCCTACTGTGTAATTTAGACGTTTACCATTGCTGTCACTGACAGAGGCACTAGCGGTTACTATTACTCTTGGCGGACTTTTTAGCTTCAACGGTGGTCGTTCCGTTTCAGTGAGTGGTGGTACAGATCGGGCAGATAGGGATGATTGCTCCTCTGGACTAGAATCTTCGCTTCGCTTTCTGTCGTAGTAAAATGGATTAAACGGAAGGTGCTGCGCTGGTAACGGTGATGGGTATGGCTTTGCTGGTTGTTTTACAGGTGTATTGTGATGATCAGGGACTTGAGGTGAAGGCCCAGGTCGCAACAATTGATTACGCGGATCTATTGTCGTCGTACGGAATGGGGCTGGTTGTGGCCTTTGCACAAAAGGCACTGGTCGTGCTGCAGTCGGTCGAGGCACAGTCCGCGACGATTCATATTGAAAGTGATCGAATTGCTGCGAAGGAGCATGCGTTATGTAAACGCCGTCTGCTGGACGAAAACTTTGCCTTTGGAAGGAGATAGCTTCCGATCCGGGACCGCGATGTCTGTAGATAAATTCTTGTGGAGAAAGTAATGAAGGGTCTAACGTGGATGAAGGATTGAATGTGGGTGAAATAGTTGAGTATGGTGAGGGAGAAATTGATGACGGTCTGGATGAAGAAGTAAATTCGTGGGGTATAGGGGAGCGGGTTGTTGAAGGTAAAGTAGTACTCGATGGTAGAGGCTTTATTGTGGTAGGCGTGCTTATAACCGATTGTTGAGTCGTTGTCGTTATATGAGAATATTCATCTTCATATTCATCGTCTATTCCTTCGTCTTCATATTCTGAAATGATTTTAAAAAGATATGTATATCATTTAATTGATTACTTACTTTTTAATGATGCTTACATAAAAAATATAATTTACGAATATAATGTGAAATATAACATATAAAGGTCTAATTATCAATATAATGGTAACAGTATTCTGTCTTCCCTACAGGACTATATTTAGATATAATCAATTATTTATAAGAATAGCGATACCTTCTTCATCTTCCTTTACAGTTGTTGTTTGCAGCGGTCTGACCACTTGCTGTTTTTTAATGTCATCTCTATTATCCGGTATTGGGTCTTCGGTTGTGTCTATACTTTCGGTCGTTTGGTTCTGAGTTTTATCCGCGTTTGTAGACGAATCGTTAGAATAAGGGTCGGACGACCCGTCGGTCGTTTTTGAGTGGGGATTCGATTCTGTTACGATAGGTTTCGGTTCTGGTGGTATAATCGGTGGCGCTGTGCTTCCATATAATTCTAAATTTAAACTGTAAAATTTTTCAGACTTCGTGCAGTCAACTTCATCAACTCTTTCGCATACTCGCGTTTCCTGAAACATTAATGTAAAGTATTAGTGCCATCTATAACTTCTTATTCTTGTTCGGATTTTCTATGTTATGTAGAGGGCAGGTTTTTGGCGAATTTAAATAAAAAATATATACTTTCTTAAGTACTATATAACGATAAATTTAATATAAAATCAATGGTATAAAGGCCGAACTAATATCTATAAGTAGAGTCTTCCAACATTAACAACTTTAGGGAAGATTGTAATTCACTTTCCACAGAATATGTTTACCTGATCAAAAACGGTACCATTCAGACAGAGGAACTTGATATCCATGGGCTCGTCCTGTTGTCCCACAGTGCAGACATGGAACATTTGGCAAGACGTTTCCAAATCCGCATAGTAGCCACCAATTACTTTGCCAGTGCACGTAAAATTGGTCTCGGGAAGGTTATCGAAGTCCAAGTACTGAAAGAGATAGTTGACTTATGTTAATTTTCTAATTTTTTTTTGATTACTTTCTTTACAATATTTACATTAAATAGTCTTCATATTTATAAGATTCTTGTTTTTATAAGATTCTTGAAAGATATTTAAATAAAGCACAAAACATGTCATAATTCATTTTTCTATTGACCCGACATTACGGATATCGTGCAGTGTTTTATTAATATATAGGTATACTGCTAGCGTAAACTACAGGAAATTCTGTCTTTAGTTCTTGAAATGCCTATCGTATGAAAAAAATCTTATAAAACAATAATATTTAAAAATTATATTAATAACAATAAAGATAAATATATATTTAGTATATTATATTTATACAAGTAGTAAACATTTAAATAATATACTTTTAGGGGTTTACGCGAATTGTAGTTAAAAATATTTTTAATAAGTTAAGTAAAAATATTTTCATCTAATATAGATCGCGTTTTAAACCGCTGGGAGTGTTTTATTTAATTAATTATAATTATTTTGGAAACTAGTTTTTAGATATTTTAAAATTATACCTACCCCAGGTTGTATGGACCTCGATATCCGGAATTCATTTTGAAATACGAACAGTAGCAGCCACAGCCAAACTGTAATGTATAGGATATATATGTAAAGGAATTTCATATATAAATCTATTCATAGTACAACGCCTTAATTCTAAGGAATGTAAAGAAACGAAGGAAGGTTACAATAACTTGGCATAACATTAAGATTATTTTTTGTATTAACATGCATTCACACGTTGGTCATACCTGATTTGTATTGATAAATTTTCTTTTTCCCCTCATACTCCCCTTATTTGTAGAACAAATATTTAATTTAATATAATAAATAAAGTCTTGTATTTAACCGACGTCGAATACATGGGCTTTTTTTTATACTGTCTATAGTTTACGCGAGTAGTTCACATTTAAATAAAACACTTTAACGGCTTAAAACGCGATATATTAGTTAAACTTATTGAAAATGATTTTTAACTTTGGTCCGACGTTTCGGATGCAACAGCCGTGGTCACGCGGAGACGAAACGTCGGGCCGAAGTTAAAAATCATTAGCAATAAGTTTAACTAATATATCGCGTTTTAAACCGTTAAAGTGTTTTATCTAAATGCGCTTTTTATGTTAATCGCAGTTAGCTGAAAATTTAACGTTAACTTTAGAATATTAATTTGTAATTAATTATTATTTGCTTTTTTACTGAGCGGAAGGCTCAGATAAACATAAGATTTACTTGATGGAAGGGGAAATACCCCAGCCATCAGCTAACATCGCAAGAAGATGCGTTATCGATCTATGTATTTTAGATTTGGGCGGTTGACGGTAGTTCGTGACTCGGACGGAATTTCAATATTCTTTTTAATATCCAGATTGTTGGGCTTCCGCAACATGTTTCAGAAAAAAACATAAATTGATTAGAAAAATGTTGGTCACAGTGGGGATCGAACTCAAGACCAATTGATTATAATATATATAACATCGCTACTATTGCACCAACGACCCTGACAAAAAAATCGTATGACTGTGACATATGATGTAGGGACGTTTTATAATAGATAAAGATTTATTTTACATACCACTAGTATAAAGTACAGTGATCTCCAAACTTTTTGGCCGGGCTGAACTTAACGCGGATGGTTGCGCAGAACGAAAAAAAACAGGTACCAGTTGCGACAAAGGGGGTGCACGGGTGCAGGGCGACTCGAATTTTTGCTTAAAATTGACAGTATGCGCAACCACTGCAGGAAAGCCAGTCGCGCTATCTTCAGCCCAGCCAGAAAGTTTGGAGAGAACTTTTGTAGTCATTGTTACTGTCGTTTAAAGCTTAAATAAGAAAGATGCTCGGTCGGAAATTTGATCAACTGGTCTTTATAAAAATCGATGAGTGTGTAGAACTGTAGTAGATCCACGTCTTACGTAGGGTAAAAGGGTTGACTTACTTTTGTAATATGTACCTTGTAAAGCAGAGGCGGAACGCACTATAAGCGCGCCGCCGGCTGACTGCCGACCCTGCCGCCGCATCTGAAATTAAAAAAAAAAAGAAATATTAAGTAAATTATATCAATACAATTTTTATGTGCCACACAAGTGAACACGACTGATGTAAAACATCCAAAACGTCGGGCCGTAGTTGAAATAGGTTAGCATTCGCGTTTTAAACGGGTAAAGACTTTTATTTTATTGTGTACTCGCTAAAATACAAACAGTACGTATATACAAGTTGTAAAATTTATATACACTACACTCAAAGTAGTAAGTAAAAGACGCAGTTTTTACAAATACCATTTTCCGTAAATATATCGTTTGCCCGCTCTATAATAAATGTTGCGTAGCATAACCTTACGTACAACGTAAGCGCGAGAGGTCATGGTTTGGAATCTCGGGTACAAAATAATTTGTTTTGGTGGGGCAGGACACAGAAGTCTGATCAACTACTTGTCTGTACCCTACGACGGGAAACGGAATCGCACTTTTCCGTGGGTAGGCAGAAATAGGGAAATTATAAATATAGTAGACGAACTCGAACGTTAATTTGATCGAATTTTTATATGATTAATATAACTGTGGCTATACTTTGAACGTAAGCTTGCTTTTTTTAAACATCACTCATCTCTTGCTAAATATTTACGTCTACAATGCCACGATTCTACTAACTTTCTACTAACAGTTATCACTATCTATAATAAAATGAACTCATGTTTTGAAATACATCTTTACTATCGACGTTGAGATTTCAAAGACAACAAATCTGTACGATAACATTGAGAGAAAACAAAGGTTGTTTCTGAAATATTCTCAGGCGCATCGTCAAATCAACAATAGTATTTCGACATTTATCTACACAAATAATAATTATCTTCTGGGAGTTCCGATGTGCGATGTTAAGCGTTTCGTAAGAGCGATTAAATATTACAATGTGGAAAATGCTCCACATCAGAATTTAATAGCTTAGAAATAAGCTGTAATTGCATTGAGAAATGTTCTATGCGCTATTTATAGCTTGTAAAAAGCGCTTTGTAAATATTTAAGGCATTAACTTCCTCTTAACATTGCAGACAGCATTCTTTAATACTTTTTGTTTGGAAGGTAAAACTGTTAATGGTATTTGGTATTACAATTTTAACTCGTTATAACATAGACAAGGCCAAAATTTTACATATGTTGCAGAGATCGATTTTATGTGATATCTGTTATCAACTACGACTTATTCAAAAAAAGGTAGATGGTTTTGTTAAGTTATAAATTGTATGTTTGTTGTTAAAACAAGTAAAACTAAACGACAAAACAAGTAAAAAAAGTTTAATCAAAAACGTGTTAGAGATTTGGTTGTAACTTTTCCTTTACATACCGTTGTTTTACATTAAGTACTAGCTGTGCCCGCGACTTCCTCCGCATGAAAAAGTTTTTGCAAACAATCTCTTCAGCTTTTTAACATTTAGCTGTTATCCACGACTTCGACCGCGTCTCGTCGCTCTTACTAGTTAATCATGATAATAAACATATACGCTGACATTTATTTAATAATTTAGATTTTAGAGATTTTTTTATTTAACCCATTTTCGCATACCCCCAAAGATGAATCATATTTTCCCTTTTTTTACATTTCCCACTGGTTTCTAGCTCCCATTGGTCGCAGGCTAATGTTATACAGCCTAAAGGCTTCCTCGATAAATGCTCTAATCAACACAAAAAAATCAATTCAATTCGATCCAGTACTTCTTGATATTTGGCGTTCAAATAAACAAATTCTTTAACTTTATCATATTAGTAAATGTACATAGGTCTTGGAGAATACTATACAATAGATATTTTTAAAATAAGTTATGAAGTCAAATTGTAACTAATCCAACTATTTTGATGACATTTGATAAGATTAGATTTAGGATATGAATCCATGGTCTGATAAATAAATTATTAATATAGGTTCTACGCAATTATTATTTCCCATGGTATAATGGTTTTTGATTTATTAGTGCTTAAATACTGTCTATAGTTTACGCGAGTAGTACACATTTAAATAAAACACTTTAACGGTTTAAAACGCGATATATTAGTTAAACTTCTTTGAAAATGATTTTTAACTTCGGCCCGACGTTTCGAATGCATTTATATATCGCGTTTTAAACCGTTAAAGTGTTTTATTTAAATATTAGTGCTTGTTTGAAATGATCTAGCCTCTAGGTGTGGCCTACGTAAGACTAGTTCTGCTACTCAGTGGACCGGCAAGAAACTAGAGCGCTGTGAGTCTGTGACAATCGCTTATTAGGATAAGAGTTACGTTGCGCTTGTTTCCCAATAATATTATTGAGCACTATATTTACGTCGTAAACACGAAATAACCGCGACCAAAGTGCACCGAACAAAATAACCAACTAGGGCAATTCAAGTTTGATATGTGGTGGCACAATGTTCGATTTTTGAATCGGTTTATAAGTAACTAGATGTGTCAGCGGCTTCGTTCGTGTACAATGTTATTTTGGACATCCAAATTTGTTTTTTGCAAACCTGATCATCTTTGGATTAAAGCTGTCGACCAATTGTTGCGGACATTTGTTTAGATAATTTAGAGTGGAATCATTCTTTCACATATATTTGGGTATCTTTAACCGTTTTTAAAGCCGTAATATTTTTTTTACATATCACGCTGTTTTCTCGCTCCTATTAGACGTAGTCCGATGTCCTATAGCCTATAAACTTCATTGATAAACACTATAACCAACACAAAATATTTTTCTATTCCCACCAGTAGTTCCCGAGAGTAACGCGTTCAAACACACAAACTTATTTAAAAATGATTTTTAATTCGGCCCGACGTTTCGGATGCTTTGCAGCAGCCTTGGTCACGGGGAGACATTTTAAAATAAGTTTAACTAATATATCGCGTTTTAAACCGTTAAAGTGTTTTATTTAAATGTGTAGTACTCGCGTAAACTATAGACAGTATTATTTTACTTCTTTCTTTCCGTTGCTTTCCTCTAAGAATAAAAGTTAACTTCAGCATACTTTTGTGGTAAAAACCAACAGACTTAAATGTTTTACGAATAACGACATAGTTAAATTTTAAACAAGTTGATGAGCTATATTCGTGTAACTTTAACTTTCTATATCGAAGGTCGTCTACATTAAGGTCTTCTCGAATGCCTTTAAATGTTGATCATCTTGAGAATCTTTATTGCAAAACTGTCACGTACAAGAAAGTAAATAAAGCAACGATGGATAATAGAGAAGCGAAAAAGAAACTTACTTGCATATAAACAAAGCTTTAGATATTTAAGTAAAATCGTAGTTAAATGAATAATACGTTGAGTAAAATATTTCTCGTTTTAACTCTTTAAAGGTTGTTTTTTTAATGTAGGTACTACCTACCCACTTAATAAGCCTTTTCTTTTATTTTTTTCTCCTGTATTTCAGGTTGCCTGGAATTATTATATATTATTGTTATTTAAAAGATATCTATTTCTTAGAAAAGATAATTATACTATGATTGTTCAGGTTAATAAACTTGTAAGTAAAACTATTAAGACAAACATTTCTGTGTCTGTCCAACGCGAGACTTATTTGCCATCTATTAGTGTATTAAGTAACAGTACAATTTCGAATTGTGACTCGCGGCAATTGTTAGCGGTATTCAACACAGGTGTTGGAACTAGGGTTGTCAAAAATTTCGGCCTAATATTAAGATAAGCTATAAAAATAATGTATGTGCTTAAATTACAAGTTATTAAATAAATAATACTTAATATCATTTGGCCTTTCTTAATTTTACTTTGGTTTGTGTATGCTGCTGTTGCTCAGAGCATTAATGAATATTTTATTTATTTATTATATTACAAAAGCGTTCAAACATTGAAATAATAATATTTTATTTGTTAGATTTAAGTGGTACGTAACGTAATTATGTAAGTGCACTCTGTTCCAAAAGCGTATATTATGCAGACGTATTCTAAAGTACTATAATGTTATGTAGTATTTTTTGGGCAGCCCTAGAGGGAACGGAGCGTGGGTATCTCCGTTATGTCAGCAAAAGGATAGAATTGCCGATAGAGGTTACTGTGTTAAGAGAACTTTTATACGACGATGCGTACGAGTTAAGAAAAGAAGACTTTATATCATGAGAGTCTCCTCACATTTCAAACATTAATTTCATCAAGATACATTAATGAATAACGTACATAGAATTAAATAAAAAAATTTTTTAGTTAAACGGTAGTTTAACGGTAACGTGAAATAAATTAATGAAACTTACGATACAATTTGAAACGTCGGGTGGTAGTTATAATAAATTACAAATAAACTTAACTAATATTATTTTCGTTTCGTTTTAAACCGTATATAGTGTTTTAGTCAATTGTAAATCCGCGTAAACTAGACTAACTCAGTGTATAGATATTTATTATTTATTTATAAGTATCTTATCATATCCCAAGTGATCACAGTTCGTGAATTTGAAATTAATCTGACGTTAACTAAAATGATTTTACAAGTAGGTATGATAAATGATTTATCATATAAAATGTAGAGTAGAAGCAGGGTATTCTTTCTACCACCATTAATTTTTAATACGCCCACAAATGTCTGCCTATGTCTGGTAATAATATTAATATTATATTATTACTCAGTTCTAGGCTTCATTTTTAAACGTAAATTTTTATATGAAAGCACTTCGGATCTTAACGATGCTAGCGAGCTTTCGAATCGATTTCCTATTCAACAAAACATCAAAATAAAGCCGCATGCGCATCCGTGCTTCCGGTTGAATAAAAGTAATAATAACAAAGCAATAACAGATGCTACGAAGCTAAGCGCTCACATAACAACTTTAAAATCGTCCATTGATGACATAATGGGCTCTCGGAATTATCTTGTTGCCCCAGATTCAGACTGTTCGCATATTACGTACCTTATTAATATTGGATTTTCTAGGTTTATTTCTCGTTTGTTTTTCGCAAGGTTTTTTTTTATGATAGAGGAGAACAGACGAGCATTGGGCTCTTCACATCTTGATGCGCTGAAGATTCGGT